TTCACAGTCAAAGTTGAAGATGTTCCTGAGACAGCACAAGAGGAGTTCATTGAACTTATTAACAACGATGCAGCGAGAACTGATTTCTCTACAATGCCAGTTACAAAATTCTGGATCAAGTGTTTGTAGTCATATCCTGTTCTGAGACTGTTGCGCCTTCTTCTTCCAGTTCCAACAACATATCTTTGTGAAACGTTTTCCAGCTTGTTGGTTATCAACTCTAAATACAGAAGTAGACTTGTTGTGGAAAATGATCTTTGTTGTGCTCTTGCAAAGACTGCCTCGAGAATTTCTGATCTGGTGAGAAAGAAGCAATCTCAACCTTCACACTAACGTTGGCTTTTTACGCATACTGTCGCAAAATGTAGCAATGTAGTTTACTGTTGTTATATTAAGATTGTTACCCATGCTACACCATGCTTCAAGACAAAATTTCATTTATTTGTAATTAGAAATAAATATTTCATAATATATAATTACATATTGTTTTTGTGATTAATCACTATGCTTTAATTATGTTCAATTTGTAACAATGAAAATACATCCTGCATGTCAGATATTTACATTACGATTCATAACAGTAGCAAAATTACAGTTATGAAGTAGCAACAAAAATAATTTTATGGTTGGGGGTCACCACAACATGAGGAACTGTATTAAAGGGTCGCGGCATTAGGAAGGTTGAGAAGCACTGTACTAAAGGTTAATGTTTGCATATCTTAGAACCAAGCAATTTAGCTGGTTGGTATATACTCAACAGAAAGGCATGCATATGTGCACCAGGCAATATTTTAAATAGTTCAAAATTGAACACAATCCAAATGGCCGTCAATAGTAGAATGGATAAGTAAATTGTCATATATTCATATACACTAGAGTACTAACATAGCACTAGAGTAGTAACATAAAATGAGCAAATCATGGGTTTACACTACAACATGGATGACTCTCATAAAAACAGAATTGTTAGTGGTGGTATTTGACCGCAGTTCTTGAGTTCAGCAAAGAGAGACTTCAGAGCCAAGAACTCTAGTGCAAGAAGTTTATTTAGAAAGTCACAGAGGTAGAAGAAGTGAGCCAGCTGGGCTGCATGGACTCAGGAGACAAGTTACAGAAGCCAAAGTGCTATTGGGGTTTAGGAGATGGAAAGTGAAGATACTAGTACATGCCTTGAGGAAATAAGGAGACAGGAGGAAGGTACCAACAGAGGGCGATAGAGAGAGTGCAAGTGCACTGGGTCCCTTGTCTTAAGGATTTTTACCTGTTTTCTAAAGACAGGGACTTTAGGGGAGGACTCAGGGAAGGATCACAATAGAATATTCATCAGCTTTTAGTTGTGTCCTTTCAGGATTGGTGGTTTCTACTGGTTGGTCTGCACTATGGTAGGAGGTCATTAGTCATTGCATCTGGTCCTGATGTCAGCGAAGGCATCGCTCCTTCTGGTTTTGCTGTTTCTGGGTTCGGAGCTGAAACACAACTGAGGCCTGGGTGTTATCTCTAGTGTGACCAGAACTCTGTATTGATGGTCAACAGACCAGAGGCTTTGTTCCTAAGATTATTTGATGCTGATGAGAACCTCATTGTCCTGAGGGCTCAATGCTGAAGGAGGCGGTCACACAGGGAGAAGGCAGCAGCTGAGGCAGGGTGCTGGATGAGCCAGTGCGGATTAGCAATCTGTTTCACTTTCCCCATTCTACCTGCCAAAGAAGTTTCCTAGCTTCTTACTCTCCTGCCTTGGGAATGAAAGAACACACACATAAAAGAATACATAGTATACGATTACATTTCCATAAAATGCAAAATCAGGCAAAAATAAACTATAATGTTTATAGTTGGAAAGAAGAGAGGGTGATAGTGATAGAGAAGAAGGCAAAAACGGAAGCTTCTGGGGTACTGGTAATTTTTATTTCTTGACTTGTGATGATTACACAGCTGTGTTATCGTTTATTTAATTGAGCACTTATGATTTATATATTCTCATGTATGTTATAATTCAACTTTTTTAAAAAGTGGAAAGTTTTGGCTGCTGCACCAAGATGTCTCACTCTCTCACAGTGAAAGTTTACTCTGGAAATGAAATCAATACTTTATTTGGATCTGATTTCTTTTTTAAAAAAATTTTTAAAAAAATATATTTTATTGATTTTTTTACAGAGAGGAAGGGAGAGAGATAATTAGAAACATCGATGAGAGAGAAACATCGATCAGCTGCCTCCTGCACATCTCCCCGCGGGGGATGTGCCCGAAACCCAGGTACATGTCCCCGACCGGAATTGAACCTGGGACCTTTCAGTCCACAGGCTGGCGCTCTATCCACTGAGCCAAACCGGTTTCAGCTGGATCTGATTTTTAATGTGGACAAAAAGGGGCCACTTACTAAATCTGACTAGATCAGAGAGGCCTGCATGGTGGGCCTTACAAAGACTGAAAGTAACCACAGAGTGAGACAGTATAAGGACTTGGGCCCAAGCGTGGAAAAATGCTCAGTGACCAGGAAGCCAGTAAGATGCGGTTGCGAAAAGGAATGTCAGATCTGAATGTCCCTACCCCCTCACACTCTGCTCAAAGCAATTGCAGAATTTTGTCTCCCTTCTAATAGCCTGCTTTTCCTGCCCTGACATGGAAAATTCCACAAAACTTCCTTTCCCCAAAAGCCTATTGTTTCTTTTTTCATGCAAACCCACTTTGTCCCCAGCTTATAAAGACAGCCAAGCAAACTCAGTCCCCACGCCAGTTCAGAGGACCGTCCTTCCTTTTGTGCTGCCTCTTTTGTGCTCAAACATAAGCCTAATAAAAAAAATCTGTCTGGAAATTTCTCTGGGGTTTCCTCCTGATTTCTATGTCGGGGAACTCAAGAACTCCAACACCAATAACAACCGGATGATCTGAACACAAGAAGTCCTAACTAAAAGCGAGTCGTGGCAGGTGGTGACATCCTAGGCCTATAGTTTCCTTGACAAAGGTCAGTATTTACTTTAAGTAAGCCTGTCTATCCCACACCCTCCAGGATAAGCTCTCACTGCCCCAGGGTCTGTGTCCATTGGTTATGCTAATATGCATGCGAGTCTATTGTCTTTTTGCATCTAAAAAACATACCCTTTGAGCCCTAGCCGGTTTGGCTCAGTGGATAGAGCATGGACCTGCGGACCCAAGGGTCCTGGGTTGATTCCAGTCAAGGGCATGTACCTCAGTTGCAGGCTCCTCCCTGGCCCAGGGCCTGGTCAGGGCATGTGCAGGAGGCAACCAATTGATGTGTTTCTCTCACAGCGATGTTTCTCTCTTTTCGTCTCTCTTCCACTCTCTCTAAAACCAATGGGAAAATATCCTCGGATGAGGATTAATGGGAAATAAAATTAAAATAACATACCCTTTGAATGTTTAAGCAACCCCCTTTTTCCAGACCCTCAGAGTACAACCTCATACCACTGAGACCACAGAACCCCTCATTGTCATTTTGTTGTTGTTTTTTAAAAAAATATTTGTATATATTTTTATTAACTTCAGAGAGAGGAAGAGAGAGATAGAAACAGCAATGATGAGGGAGAATCATTGATTGGCTGCCTCCTGCTCACTGCCCTCCTTTAACCTAGGCATGTGCCCTGAATGGGAATCCAACCGTGACCTCCTGGTTCATGGGTCAATGCTCAACCACTGAGCCACACCAGCCAGGCAGAACTCCTGATTGTTATCTTGTTCCCCAAATACCATGTTCTACATGCTACAACTGTTAATTGTTAACCATCCTGTATCCTCCAATTTAAAAGAAGTATGTGTCTTTCCATTTTATTCTTTTTTTAAAAAATATATTTTATTGATTTTTTACAGAGAGGAAGGGAGAGGGATAGAGGGTTAGAAACATCGCTGAGAGAGAAGCATCGATCAGCTGCCTCCTGTACACCTGCTACTAGGAATGGAGCCTGCAACCCAGGCATGACTCTGTTGTACTCTTTAGCCAATCTCAGAGATTTCCCTGCTCTGATTTCTTCCCCCTCCCTAGTTTACCACCAACGAATTTCATGTAAACCCCGCCCCCTTTCATGTAACATCTCCTTTGATTCTAATGTATAAAGTAAGCTATAAAACAGCCATTCTCTGGAATATTTTCTCAATCCACTGAGATTTTGCTTCCTGCAATTGTCAGTTTGGCTCAAATAAATTCAGAAAAATTCTCTACAGGATTGGACGTTTCTTTTGTCAACATTTAAAAAATTAGGGTTTCCATACCAAACCCCTCCGTGCTATTAGAATAAAGACCAATTTGTGAACTTGCTGTCCTGAGGTTAAACCACTTTTAAGAGAAAGCAGAAATTCATATTTTTATGTGAAATATCATACTGTTTAAATATCATACTGTTTAAATATTTAAACATATTGTTTAAATATCAATAACCCATCCAATTGTTTTAAGCATGAGTTGAAACAGGCCAAACAAAATGTACCTATAGCTACATTAAAGCCCCAAACTCCAGTTATGATCTATGGGCAAACAGGGAAATGCCTTCTCTTACAGGTATTCATAGCTTCTTGTCACAGCCAAGTTCTTCCAAAACACCACAAAGATCACTCCAGCCAATTGCCCACTTGCCTTTTGGACAGGGATTTTTTTCTTGAATCCCTGACTTTTTCTGTGCTTAAAAAGCAGTACTGGACACCACAGACTTCTATCTCATACACTGTGACAGAAAGGTTGGAGAGCCAAAAACAATGTGAATTGCTCCCCTTCCCCTCCACTGGGATTTCCCTGGAACAATCTCTTCTGGGTTTGTGTTTCTAACTCCTTAATAGACGCCAACACCCAACCACTCACCCTTCTCCTAAGGGTAAGGCTTAACCTTGCAATTGCTGCCACTGGAGTCCCACTGAGGCAGACGGAAGGAAACTGAGAGCTCCCTCAGTCCCCTCTCCCGGATATCAGGCAGTAGTCAATTCAAACTTGAGGTTGCACAAGGAGAGAACAAATGAGCCAGCGACAAGAGGTAGTGGAGCAAGGTAGTACTCACCCAAGCCAGAACGACCAACACCACAGTCAGAAGAATCTTGGGTTGCCCCGTGAATGAACCCATGGCGGTGTAGATTTTTCTCTGAAGTAACCAGTATGAACCATGGATCTAGGTGGAATATAAAATAAAAATTTAATAGGCTTGTTAAGTTACTGAGTTACTTCTTGTAACTTCCCAAGAGAGGTACATGTTCTGCCTGATACTATAAACTATTCCAGACCCTGTGTCTTTCAAAATCCACCTTTCTAAGTCCTAGGTTTCCCCAGAATTTAAAGTCTCTTTTTCTGGACTTTGAAACAATTGCAGCGTCCAGTGTGCAGTGTCCAGTAAGATTCTGGGATGCCACGTGTGCTTCTTGGTCTTTGCACTAATGACTCTTTCATAATTGGTTAGCTAACACTTCACCACACCACCAAAAACATCAGTGAAAGAACATACGTTGTCATTCACTTGTAAATTTTCATAAAATATATTTGGTGTTAATTGTAGTTCTTCTATTGATATATTATAGCTCCAGAAGCAGGGATGGGGAACCTTTTTTTCTGCCAAGGGCCATTTGGGTATTTATAACATCATTTGGGGGCCATACGAAATTATCAACTTAAAAATGAGCCTACAATATTTGGTCAAACATTTTTTTAAAATGCATTTTATTGATTTTTTACAGAGAGAAAGGGAGAGGAAGAGAGATAGAGAGTTAGAAACATTGATGAGAGAGAAACATCGATTCAGCTGCCTCCTGCACACCCCCCACTGGGTATGTACCCTTGACCGGAATCGAACCTGGGACCCTTTAGTCCACAGGCCGATGCTCTATCCACTGAGCCAAACTGGTCACAGCTTCGGTCAAACATTTAATTAACTCACCCTTAGTGCCTTAGCAGAGCTAGACCAAATGGTTTCATGGGCCTTATGTGGCTGGCGAGGCTCAGAGATTTCCCACCCCTGCATAATAGGAGGACTTTAGCATGAGGGAGAAGAGGGCAGTTATCTATCTGAGAGTGTCAGCATGGGTTATTCCAGAGGGTGACGGAGAGGTGACAGGTCTGAGTCAGAGGGGATTTCAGCGTGTCGATGCCCACCGCCCTGAAATACATACGATGAAATAATATAAGGTTAAATAAAGAGCTGGAATATCAAATCTGAAGAGAAATACAAATATGCCTAAACAATGATCAATGGGAGGTGGGAGTGGCCAGGGAGGGGTAGATGGGGGGAAAAGGAGACATATGTAATACCTTAAACCATAAAAAAGAAAAAAAACCAACAACAATGATCATTTTATTTGTGCAAATTAGATTCTAAGACTGAATCAGCTGGAGTAAAAGGGCAGTACAAACCATATCAGAATTTCCTAACCTCCAGTCGCACACTAGGAATTTCATATGATTTTGCCATATCCATATCCTGTCTACACTATTTTTTCTTAACATTTTTCTTTAAACTTACTCATTATAAAAATTCAGACATTCATTTTGAAGAGAGAAGCAATAATACCTACAAAAGATAGGTGAGGGCCTTGGCTAGTGTGGTCCAGTGGGTTGGACTGTTGTCCTGTGCTGCACCAGCACGGCCAAGGGTGAACCTGAGGAGGGGTGGTGAAGGATTGAAGAAAAGACAGACAAGAGAACACAGCTGGGTCTTGGTGGATCTCCCATGCCTGGATGAGGACATGAAAGACCCAGCCTGCAAGCAGATGCTTTATTTTATAGTCTGATTAAAACAAGGGTAGGAAAAAAACCCAAGATGGTGGCATAGGTAAACACCGGAAATTGCTGCCTCGCACAACCACTTCAAAAATACAACTAAAAGACAAAACGGACATCATCCAGAACCACAG